ATAGCCTTCCCAAGGGGCTACATGCCAAAATCCCCATTTTTCAAGGGTCTGCCCAGGAAAATTATAAAAAAATCGAAAAAATATTTTGTTGTTGGATTTTGATGCAGAATGATGGCAAATCAACCCACAAATCGTTTAAGGTACTCCCCGCAAGGATCGGGTGAGAATTGACCAAGGTATAGCCTTTCCAGGGGGCTATAAGCCAAAATCCCCATTTTTCAAGGGGTCTCCCCAGGAAAATTATGAAAAAAATCGAAAAAATATTTTGTTGTTGGATTTTGATGCAGAATGATGGAAAATTGATCCACAAATCGTTTAAGGTACTCCTCGCAAGGATCGGATGAGAATTGGCCAAGTTATAGCCTTTCCAGGGGGGGCTATATGCCAAAATCCCCATTTTTCAATGGGTGAATGGGCCCAAGAAAATGATGAAAAATCGGTCCACAAATCGTTTAAGATATGCCTTGGAAGAATCGGTACAATACTGACTAAGATATAGACATAGTTGGTAGCCCCCGAGGTATGAGCCCCAATGGGTTCTGGGGGGAATTTCATATTCAACGGATTTCAAAGACATCAATTGAGAGGTGTGACTTTGGCATGTGCACACCCCCGTTGCAGTTGCCCCCACCCCGCCCGCGGCAACCCCTGGAAAGCGTCACAAGTGGTATTGCAATTAAATGGCAGACAGTCCCCCTTTAAAAAAAAAAAAACAAGTGTGGACCGAGGGGATCTTCTAATCCGGCTGCCCAATTTGCCAGCTTTTGGCGTTGGGAAAAGTGAAAATTTTCCACACACACATGCAAAACGGAGGGCGAGAGGCAAGGGGAAGGGGTAGCTGGTGGTGGAGTGGTGTGTGAAGGGGGTGTTAGGGCTGCTTAGGCGTTGCAGTTTGTGTTCCTGTTCTTGTTTTTGCAAAATGGGGTTAAATTGCACAGAAATTACGCGTCACGTATGCCTCATACTCCATGCCCCCATTGGCATGAAACCCCTTCACTAACACTCCCCCTTACCCCTACCCCTACCTCTACCCCTACAACTTCATCTTCTTCTTCACACTGAGAGAAAACCAGACGCTTTTGTTTTCGGGAGCACTTAACACGACATCGTCGACGCTGACGACATGCACTTGAGTTTTTAGAACAAAAGGGTTAGGTCTCTGCTGCATCCTTTTTTTTCGTCCTTTTCGTCCTGGCTTGTTTGGAAGAGGGGTTGGGGGGGTTGCACAGTTAGATGCACTAGACAGGCACGAGACAAAAACGTAAACGAAAGCGAGACGACTTTTCTAACCCTTTTCAGGTTTTCAGATTTCCACAACTCAGTATTCAGATTCAGGATTCAGATTTTCAGAATTCAGATTTCCACCCTCATTGGTAGGACAGAGGTAGGCAGGATGCATTAGAGCTGGGATGTCATGTTGACATAGTTGCACCACCACGGGAAGTAGCAGCGGCAACATCCCCCTCAGGTGGTACACAAAAGCACAAGGGGGCATGCAGCAAGCCAGCCAGGCAGCCAGCAAGTCAGGCAGCAAGGCACATTGCAACGAAAGTGAAACACAACGATGGTGTACGGTGTGTATGGTGGTGGCTCCTGTGTCGTCTGTGTCCTGCGGGGCAACTTCAACTTGGAGATGGAGCTACCACTGCTCCTGCCACTGCTACTCCTGATGCCTGAGTGCACTTTCCTGCACTATTCAGAAAAGTGGAAAAAGGGGGCATTCTGAGTGGGCTGAAGGACGTACGCGAGGCGACACGTCGTCTGCAAAATAGGGTGGCACTCGCAAACCTGGCAATGGGGATGCAAAAGATGGCGATGTACTCGAGTACGAGTGCCACTACCACTGCCACTGTCACTGCCACTGCCACTGCCAATGCCGTTGAAAGGATACCTAGCCTGGGACAAGGTGAGGTGGCAAGAACAGCCTCAAGAAGAAAATTCAAAAGGAAAAGCTGAAAGGAAAAGTGAAAGCCAGGGCCAGACCAGAACTTCCACCAATACCCATAAAAAGCAATGAAATTTCGCTTAGGCTGGCTCACGGTTGCGTTTTTTTGGCTTTTATGTGGTCTCCCAGAGGTTAGCTTGGGTCCAGGACACTACAGGACATAGAAGGACACTGGCAGAAAAGCAAGAAGGCCAGAAACTCACAGCTCTAATTTTTAAAAGATTTCAAGAATTAGGTCTTTATAGTCTGAAACCTTTTAATACTAACTTAGAATATCTTTATCCTTAAGGTCCTCTATTTTTTTGTTCAGTGATTAGATTGGTCCTTGGCCAGAAGAAGAATGAACTTGAAATAACAGCCAGGACGTAACGCACTAATGTCCTTTCGGGCCGCGATATTGCCAAAGGAAAATAAAAAGTTTCCCGTTTGGCTACCCAGCTCCTTGCACATCCTTGGGCCTCATGTGCGCGGCGACAAAGTTTTTATTCCTTTGTTTAGAAAATAAGCATAAATGCGCACGTGTCCTGTATTCGCTTTGCTTTAGTGCACGAGTGCCAGGATTAAGTTGGGGGGGTAAGGACGACTGCGTTGCCGTTAAATTTTAATGCGCCCATATCGATATGCGTGCATGTCCTGCGCCATCGGCATCTATAAAAGCCCTCCTCCTCTACATCCACCCCACCACCACCTCCACCTCCGGCCCTGGACGCATTTCTAATATCCGATAGCTGCGCAGTCGCGATAACGACTGGATCTGAGGTTAGTTGCCAATTGCCACTTGCCACAGGCGGTGGCAGCTGCACTTGCCCCCAAGGGGCCTCCATGAATATCCCATGAGCTCACGCTATCCTGCCAATCCAGTGGCACAACACCCCCACAGTCACTGTCTCTTTGCATAAACTCTTAGGGTCGCGGATTCTAATCAATTTCTTTGGAAATACTTTTCCAAAAATCTATATTTTTGAGACATCCTATTGATTTGTTTTTAATGCAATTTTAATTTTGAATTAATGTAAGGGCAAATTTTATAAATAATATATATGAATACAATAGTTTTGATTCTTTATTTTATATTTTCAGATCTATTACTACTTTTTCAAGAAATCCTAAAGCCAATATTATGAATAATAATACCAATTTTTGGAATGTTTCCAACAAACATCATTGAAAAGAAACATAATTCTGTAAGTTCTTGCTATTAAATTTGATTATTTTTTTGTAATTTTTATATAATTTACAATTGGGTTTTAATTTTGAAAAACACCGTATCGGAATATCCTGTGGAATTTGAGTGTTATTTGATTTTTTCAGGAGAATGCAAAGATTTAGGAGAAGGTTCTTAGAAAAAGAAACTATCTATTGAATAGAAAAGAACTACAAAAACCTTCTTCAACTCAAATAGCTTATGGGTTATAAAGATTAGAAAACCGATTTACAAAAACTAGAAGCTGATAGATAGATATAATTCTGAAAATTTGATCAATGTTATGGTTTTTATGGTTAAAATTAGAGTATTAATAAAGTTTTAGTTTTTAATAAAGTTTGAGTTTTTAATGAAGTTTTTATAGCTTTTGTTTTCTTTTATTAATAGTTTCATATTTCTTATATCTCTTCTAGAGATGTCTATCTTTTCGAGTTCCTAAAGTTCTTAGAGGCCTTAGAGTTCTTTTAGACTCTTAGAAGACTCCATCTTTTAAAAGTTCTTATTACTTTTATTTTATTATATTTTATATATATTTCATTTCTTTTACTTAAAATATAAGTCCTCTAAACCAAGTAATACTAATTCTACCCCAGGGACTTCCAATTTAATTAATTTTAATTAAGTTTCTATATATATCAATAATATCAATAGCTTATAAGTTTATCTAACAAGCTTTACCCTTCTTTTACAGAGTCCTTGCTAGCCTTTTAAGCTTTTCAATTCAAAGTTCTAAGGACCCTTAAGCTTTTATCCTATTTTGGACACCAACTGTTCTCTTAAATGTCCTGGCTAAGCTTTAAAGGCTTTTCCTTAAAAGTTTATTCTTCTATGCTTTCATCCTTTTTGTCATCCCACAAGGTCCTTGAAAGTCTCTTAAAACTTAAAAGCTCTGAAGTTTAGATTAAGTTTGGAAGGGCTTTCACTTTCAATGAGAGTCCTAGCTAAGTTTTAGCTTTTGAGTTCTTAACTTTTGGCTTTTATTTAGGAAGCTTTCTGTAAACTTGTATCCTGTTGGTGATCCAAAATGGTTTCCTAGTACTAGTTCTTGTTAAGAGTTAAAGAAAAAGGATTTAAAACTAAATATTTTCTTAGTTTTTGTGTTAGAAACTTATGCTTTTTATATTTTTATATTTTCCATATTTTTTATCCATTACTTTTCCGTTACTTTTATTAAATATTCAAACATTAAAATTCAAATCAAGAAATATATGTTAGAATTATAACATCCTCTCCCATATAAACTCAAAATCAATTCAACTAACTGATTTAAAATCCTCAAAAACTTTTTGTTGAAACAAAAAAAAAAACCCAAAAAGTATTGTCACATGTTGTCATAGTTTTTCTTTGTTTTTTGTTATTTTTTTGGAAAATCCTTTCCAGAGCAATGTCGCGTCTAATTTTCGTTTTAAATACATAGTTTTGACAACCGCCTGGCGAAAGTTTGGATGCATTTCGCCCAACGGGTTGACCAACAGCTCTAAATAATGCATAAATGCAATTTACAAGTTGAATTGTTTGTGGTCTAGTTTTTATTATTTGTCCGTGTTGGCCCAGAGCCCCCTTTGGCCGCACAGTGGCGTCCGACAGGCTGCTGGATATACGAGTTGGTCCGCCAGGTTATTGATTGCCAGTTACCATTTATGAGCCACCTGGACTACAATTTGTCTGGTCCTCGGTCTGGGCCTGGTCCTGGTCCTGGGCCTGGGACATTCCATTCCAATCCATTTAGTAAAGTTTTTGGCTTCAACAACTCCACTCGTACTCTAATTTTTGTGTCAAAACTTTTTGGACCAAAAAATATATATATTTGAATTTGATTGGCGGAAAATAGAAAGATTTATTGAAAGGTAATTTTTTTTTTTTCAAAAAATGGCAAATTTATTGATACGAAAAAAAATTCATTTTACATAAACATTTTTGTTTGCTTAAAACCTAAGAACATTTCGACACAATTTTGCTTATAAACTGAGAATACGACAGGTTATAGGATCGGAAGGATGGGAAAAAAGTATTTTTTGAAAAAGTTGGAAAGAAATAGAAGAAAGTAGAATAGAAATCTAAAGGAAAATCTATTTAGATTCCTCCCCATCATTTTCCTCTTGTGGTGAACCGTTGAAAATATAATTATCCTTTCCGGCAATACCAGTACCGCCAGAATCACCCAGCCAGGGATAGACATTGGGGCATTCCCGGCAGGTCTCCATGTATCGGGTATCCGTAACATTTTGTTCGGGAATCTTGAAGGGCAGGGCACACGTCTGCCAAATGTTGCAAGGCTTGGGGGCAACGGCAACGCTTTTGTCGCATTTCCATGCTTCGATCTTGCTAACATCGCGGAGTTCCTTGGGATCGGTCATGTACTGCAACATTTGGGTGACAGTAAGGATGTAGACGTCGGGTCTGTAAAAAAACAAAAACCGAATTAAATTTTTATAATTTTTGGGGGAGGAATATTATTATGGGACTTGTAGGACTCAAGTCAAGACAACTACTTTATGGCATTCTTGTGCTACGCATTTTCAAGCATCTCATCCAAACAAACACATACACCTTGGCTCTTCCATTTTCCAATTTCCTCAGGCTTCTTGCGCCATTCCCCCTGCCATGCCCCATTTTTACCAGCCAGGACCTCTGCCTTCCGCCTTCAGTTGTGAGCCTGGTTGGCAAAAGCAACGCAATGTTGAAAGTCATTCACACTAATTAAAAACTTCGTACAATTGTGCGAGAAATAGTTTTGCAGCTGCTACCGTTCCACTCCCCCCCTTCACCCGAAAAACCCACTCCTTTTTCCTGAGTCCTGCCCCATGCCTTATGCCCCTGTGTATTTTTGCTGAATTTTTCCCCATGCGGGTCAGATCTTTATAGTTTTTAACTCCTATTTTAAACAAATGCCCCAAGGAGGTGTGTGTGTAAAGTCATTTTGTTTGAAATTAAGTTGGAATTTCTTTCCACTTCAGTTTCCCAAAAAAAAAAGACACAAAAAAATGGCAACATTTCAAAGTTGAAAAAAAAATTAAACCTATTTTTTTTTTGTTAAATTTATTATGAGAAACTTTTCTAAGAAATGATCTAGATTCTTTTGAAGAATAAGAAAAAAAACAACTTGACCTCGGCCAATTTATTTTCCTCACGACTTGTTTTGTTGGCCCGAAGGCTCAAGTCCTGAATAGAGCTTTTATCCTTTGGCAATCCTACATTTATCAGGTTTCCACCACCACCCACACACATACTTTAAGGATATAAGCTCATATCTACCTTCATACCGATGACAAAGAGCGATTCTATCAGCATAACTTCATTAAGCAATCACTTTCCCTCTCTTTCTTCCCAACTAGTGTCGTCTCTTGCTGGCAACGACTTATGTTGTATTTTCTGTGTTCTAACATGGGGCTTTTTTTTTTTTTTTTTTTTAGTTAGCCACGACCCCTAATGCCTCTGGTACTGTTTTTGGTTCTTTGTTTTCGCTTTGGGTCTGGCATCTCTTTCTTTGGCTTATATACCCGTCCTTTTTCGTTCGCCCGCTACTTATCTTGACCCTCGACCTGGGCCTGCACTGATATTTTTCAAAATGAAACTTTAACAAAATTAAACTTTTCTCATTAAAACGTGCGATTTTTTTTCCCCTTCTTATCCTTATCCATGATGTGGCTACTGCAGCTACTATCGAAAAGGATACTCTAACAAAGGGTATTACTATTCTTAAAATTTTGGATAATTATTTATATTTTAAGGTATAATTAGTAGCCTTTTTTTTTTATCTATATCATAGTCTTCTTTATGTAAGTTATGGAAAGTGTATTAAATAATCGGCCTAACTCGGAAGTTACTTTAATTTTTTTAACGCTGACCGCAGCGTCCCCATTGTGTGTGTGGGACCTATTGGGCTATATAGGGGGGCTCTGAGATTCCTCTGAGAGTTGTGCATATGCCAGTGTGGGGGTTAAGTACACTAATAAAAATAATTTTAAATAAATAAGAGCACAAAAATTCCCTAACGATATTTATCGATAATTTTGATAAATAATATTTCTTTCCAAAAAAAGATTACTTCTTTTGAATATTTTCTTCAAGTGCATCCTGCATGGCCTTGCCAGGATATGAGAGGGTCAAAGGGCAAACGAGAAACGGTAAAAGTGGACTGCTCAACCTGTCGATGGACAACATGTGCCGTTACTGCTTTTACATGCAAGCCATTTTTATAGGAATTGCCAATTTTTCTGGTGCTCCTGCTCCTGCTGATGCTGCTCCTTCCTGACTTACTCCATTTCTCCGCTTTCTCTGCTTTCTCCTCCAAGCTCTGACTCTGTTTCAGTTTCTGTCTTTTTTTTCATTTCATTTCCCTAGCTCTCGCTCATCTCACTTGGCTTTTTTTAATTGAATATAAAACTTGCCAGCGGCAATCGGAAGTGCATTGCAGGAAACACCAGCTGCCCATGTGAGTTCGAGGGGGGGATATAGTTCAACAGAGCAAAAAAAAAAAAACCCCAAAAAGTTGGCATGCAATTATAAAAACATAAAAAAATATGGATAATCCCTAAAGTAAACAATTAATGATAGAAAATATTAAACTTTTTCAATGTAACAAAAAATGTTGACTACTTACGAGGGCCAGAGAAAAAAAAAATACTAAAAAAAATAATACTCACAATTCGAGAGCCCAGTCAAGGAACTTGTGGAGACCATTTTCCAGGGGCTTGGTCTGGAACCAGTTGGTATGGAAGGGCATCATGTAGGGTGCTTTGTTTTGTTCGTAGTACCGCGAAAAGTCCTCTTGCAGCCATTGCAGGACCTCCTCCTCATCCAGATTATGGAGAACGCACTGATCCAGGTAGGGGCAATGACCGCCCTCATAGCCTTCCACATAGTGGGTGTTCAAGGGCACCTCCCATACGCCGGGGAAGGTGCGTGAGGGGCAGGTGCCGCTCTTGCACTCGTGCGAGATCTTATAGTCGAGGGTGTAGGGCCAGACGGGAACAGCAACTGGGGGCACGGTGATGGAGCTGTCGTAGATATAGCCAAAGTCCTCAAGGACCTGTCAAGGGGAATGGATTAAGATTTAAATTAAGTGATTTAGAGGTTATAATTCGCAACTGGTTTAGGCAGCCTAATATCATATTAATGCCCCTTTTAAATCCCAACAACGTTGACTTTAATTAGCCAACAGACCAAAAGGATTAAGAGCCTAATCGTGCAACAGATGCCACCAAACTTATCTTCATTATCCCATCAGGACAACATAGCACACAACTCGCTATTGATGGCTCGTCCTTGTCACACACACACACAAACACACACACATTGAGTCTATTATCTGCATAAAAAGATTTCCTTTAGATATGATTTTAAATGCATGAATGTGCCAACGACTCGGATCATGAATCGTTGTGGAGGGGTGATGATAGAGGTTATATTATGGGGCTTCTGAGCCGTTATGTATGTATTGTGACATTGATGTCATGTCATGTCATGTCAAGCTGAAAACTTTCACCCCAGACATGTGTGTGTGGCTATGGTTAGGTGGCCACCAAAATCTGATTTCAATTTCAAGTCAAAGTGACTTTAATTCGCTATCCTTTTGCGCGTAAAAATTTCATAGCATACAACTCAGCGCCTATATTGGCGCCCAACTATAAATATCACTCTTTTCATTGAATTTCACCGTTTCTTGTTGACATTTCAATACTACAGATACTCTCTCTCACCCACCTCTATAAAAATAAAAAAATGGAGGGGAAATCAAATATATACATATATGTACCTCTGGTTCTGATTTCAAGAAATCGCAATCGCAATCGGCAATTGCCTGTCAATTGATGTTCTCATTGTTTGCAATTCTTTTGTTGCAACATCCCCCCCTCCCCCCTATAGTACCCCATCGAACAGGTGCAACACCCATTTCGTTGACAAACAGACTCACCTTGTATTGGGTGTTGCGGCCGGGCTTGAGGAATGGAGCTCGCATACCAACCACATCGTTGACGGACACATTGGCAAAGTGTCGCAAAATTTCACGCATGCCAATCATCTCACCCACCCACTCCTCGTATCCTTTGTCCTGCAGTCCCTGTTGCTGTGAGATGCTCTCGGTGGCGATTTCATGTCCAGCATATCCCAGGTGTTGAATCTGCTGATAGTTGCTGTAAATGGATATTTTTATTAAAAAAAAATTAAAAAATTTGTTAAAATTATTTGTTTGTTTTCTACAAAACTTCTCTTCATAACTTTACTTTATTGAAAAAGTCGGCAAACACATGGCAATGTTATGCTTGAAAGTTTCCAAACTAATTGACGAAATACATCTGGTTTGTGCCAATTAGAGAAAATATATATGAAACTAAACCAAAAGTGGATGGCAAAAAACTAGAAACTACTACATATATCTTATGAAAACCCCAAATTAGCTAAAGGGGGTCTTTCGAAGCCAAAAGAATAATTTATAGTTTTTTAGCCAAAGAACAAATAGTTAAGAGAAGCTATGAGAAATAAAAAACAATGTTGTATAAATAAAAAATGGTAACAAAATTATAAATTTTTCCTTTGTGTTTCGCTCGCTTTTCACATTTCTGGTAAATCGTTTTTATGGAAAAAACTACAGAAACAATAAGCAAGAATGTTGCCGACTATGAATGGATGTACGAATGAATGTATATATATATACATATACATATTTATTAAAAAACCCCCCAGCCCTCTCCACATCATTCTTTTCATATGTATATATGTATGTGTAAAAATATTTTCCAATGAAATTACACCCTAAAGTCAAACTTTCTACCCAGTTTCCAGCCCCGTGGACCTCTCTGCCCATTAAGAAACGATAACGATGAAAACTCGTTTTTTTTTCATTTGTTTGTTTGTTGTTGTTACGAATATTATTGTTCTACCATACACTGGAAATAAATGTGTATTTAACTTAATAGATTTTTCTTAAAAGCTGCTATTAAAGGGCCTTGGAGAATAAAGAGAAAAATATGCCCCAAAGTAGTTAAAAATATTTCTTGTAAAGTCGGTAATAAATTAAAAAAATAAATATATAAATTATTACATATACTAGATAATTAATCTCTTTTAATTTTCCAGCTTTATGCATTTTATGGGCACGCCCACTTTCCACCTATGCCGCCCACTCAAATGCAATGCATTTGAGTCTTCTGGCAGCTACTGCTTTTCCAAACAAAAGCGCACGGGTACACAACTATCTGACATCGTCAAAAAGTTCAAGCAAAAATGTGGAAATGTGAAAAGTTGTTAAAACCCAGGGCCTTGCTATATATGATAGTGTGAGTGTGCGTAGGATGCATCCTAGATATGTGTGTGTGTGTGTGAGAAAATTTATTGCTCGACAATTCAATTGTTAGACAAACAGCTGGACGAAGAGTTGAAAGCATTAGAGCGGAAAGGATCTGGCCAGGAAACCTGATGAAAAAACATAACTTTACTAAGAGCAAAGCTTTCTAGAATTAGATATGCCATACCAGGTACTTCTAGCCGTTTTTCTAGAGCTTCGGAAGCTTTTCATTTGAGTTTAAAGAAGAATAAAGCTTTTATGAAGCTTCAAGGCCAGCTTCGTATGCTATACTCGATACTCTTTATATTTAAAAGAAGAAAAACTGTAACAAAAACATTAAAGATTCAAGAAATTGAAATCCCCAAAGTTTTCTAAAAATTGTTGTATAATAGCCGGTACTTTTGGCAGTTTTTGGAAAGGCTTTTGTAGCTTTTCATTTAAAGTTCAAGGAAAAAGAGTTTACAGAAAGCATTAGGAGAAACAAGTATGTATACGATACCCGGTACTCTACGCCGCTTTTTGATAAAATTTAAAAACTTTTCACACTTACTAAAGGTATAAAACCCAAAACCTTTACAATTTCTATTTAAAAACTATAGTTACACCCCTACCTTGACAATTAAAACATTTCAAGTTCAAGAAAGCCAAGACTTGAGCCTCAAACGTGTCCTTCTCAATTTCTCTAGATGATAGGCTCGTATGACAGCATATGAGAAGTGGCTAACAAACAAAACAAAGCAACAGAAATACAAACACAAACGACAAACGACAAAAAAAAATGTGGGGGGTTTTTTGGACCAAAAAGGACTAAGGACGAAGGACACTGGATGAGCGAGAGGTAGATGACAAATGTCAGCAGCAATTAACAGAACCAACGAGCCAAGGCAAAAATAGGCAAATGACGCTACAAAGAAGCCAGTGACACAACAACACATATACATCCAACCCATATGTACATACATCTCAGAAAAGGGGCCAAGAAATAGGCGGTCATTGGAGGCGTTGTTTGGCCAAAGGCCAAAGGCCAAGAGTCTGTGGTGGAAGTGCGTCACACTGTCACATTTGATGAATTTCCCTTTGCCCTTGTCGCGAGTGGCTGATGCAACTGGCACTCTTCACTTGGCCATTATTTATGCCACACCGCCCTCCTGCCTTAAAAATAAATTGGGTTTCTAGTCACTACTACTATACTATATAGTTTATATAAACTAAGACTTTCTAAAATTCTTTTGGGGATTAGGCGAGTATCTAAAATAGTTTTTAAAGGATTTTCTTTCTATTAAATTGTCCTCAAAATGGGGAAGCTGACATTTTCCTTTAACGCCTTATTGCTACAGATATGTATATGTATCTGTGAGTGGTCTGGCTTCTGGTTCGAATGTTGCGGTTGCTAACAAGTTCAATTTGCATTTAAAAGGTAGAAACACATGTAATCTCGACGATAAGAAATTGTAAGATTACACAGATACACAAACACACACACACTAAGGGGTCCCTTGTGTCCAAAGGTCCTTGGGAAAAATGTTAGAAGTGACGCAGGAAGAAATTTTTAAATGAATCACAAAAATTAATTAAAATAATAGAAGAAAATTAATTTACAGAATTTTCTTTCTCTTTAAAGTCTTAAATATTTATATTTTTAAGCATTAAACTAACATTTCCTTTCATGATATCCTGGCAAAATTGTCCCAAATACTCACTTACACGCACTCGTTTTCCATATATTTTTCTTCAATTTGTGACCGTCTACCACTCGAGAGAGTCGAGAAATTTCTTTTAATGTCCTTTTAAAAGCCAAATCTACAGGTTCTCTGCCAGTGGCCTTCTGGTCCAGGACACACATCCTTGTAGGTGGAAAATTTTTCATAGCAATGAGCGTTTGTTTTTTTTTTCTCTTTTTTTTTGTGTTTTTATCTACACTGTTCAACACTGGAAACTAACTTCATTTGCATGGCCAGTGTTAGTGTATGAGTGTGTGCCTAACGAGCTAGCCTGACTTTGGAGAAGGCATAAAAACAAAAAACCTCTCCCCTTTTTGGACAGGATTTCAATAAAGCTTTTCGACAGCTTCACATTCTTGGGGAGAAAATTGCAGAGGCAAGACGAAAAGAAAACAGGGTTTTAAATGAAGCCGAAACACAGATACACTTTAGAGTTAAAATAGAAGACAGAAGGACAAAGGTTTTAGGTCTCTGACGGGTCTTAAGACAACAAAGTATTATGAGTTAAGAGGTAGATGGCTTACTTTGTTTCACATTTAATTTTATATTTCATTTTCAACAAACCTTGTTCTAACCCTAACTCATAGGGCATCAAACACACAGGTTATGCGAAAAGAAAAAAAAATTTTCCAACAATTTGCAAGATGAAGAAAAAGGCACTAGAATGCAGTAGACTGTTCACATGGAAACATTTTGACTGCGTTTCTGACTTGTTGTCTCTCTATTCCTCTTGGCCAGCATGATCAGGGCTGTTATCAACACCAGTTAAGCAGTTAACAGATGGAAAGTCAAGTTAAGAAAAGAAGGGCTACGTAGAGAGAAGCAAAATATTTGAAAGAAGAAATTCTTTTGGGTTTTTTTTTTTATACCCTTGCAGAGGGTATTATAATTTTGGTCAAAAGTGTGCAACGCAGTGAAGGAGACATCTCTGACCCTATAAAGTATATATATTCTTGATCAGGATCACCTCCTGAGTTGATATGAGCATGTCCGTCTGTCCGTCTGTCCGTCTGTCTGTCCGTCTGTCTGTTTCTACGCAAACTAGTCTCTCAGTTTTAAAGCTATCGTCTTGAAACTTTGCACACACCCTTCTTTCCTTTGCACGCAGTATATAAGTCGGAACGGCCCGGATCGGCCGACTATATCCTATAGCTGCCATATAACTGATTGATCGGAAATGGTATAACTTTGGTGTTTTTAGAGTTAGAGAGTTCAAATTTGACATGAGAGCTATTTTTGGCAAAATAATACGACATGCCAAATTTCGTAAGGATCGGCCGACTATATCCTATAGCTTCCATATAACTGAACGATCGGAAATGACCCAACTTTCGTGTTTTTGAAGATAGAAAGCTGGAACTTGGTACAGATAATATATATTTGGTCAGTTGATCCGACCTACCAAATTTCATTAGGATCGGCCGACTATATCCTATAGCTGCCATATAACTGAACGATCGGAAATGGTACTTGGTAGAAATATCAACTTTCGTATTTTTAAAGATAGAAGTTTGGGATTTTTTTTAGATTTTGTATTGTAAAATATTGGATTATATATTCCTATTCCCATAAGGATCGGCCAACTATATCCGATGTTTGCGATATATATCCGGTTTTAACTGCAAGGGTATATAAACTTCGGCTCCGCCCGAAGTTAGCTTTCCTTTCTTGTTTGGATTTAAAGTTAATACGTGTCCTGGAGGGAAAAAAGTATACAGAATGGCAATGCACACCTGCGAATGCATGGAAGAAGGGCTGTTAAAGTGTCATTGGGTTGTTGTCATAGTCATTGTCAACGTTGTCGTTATCTTTATTTTCACATCAACGACATTGTCATCATCATCATCATCATCATTGTTTCTCGGCATATCCTTGCCATACCGGAGCTGTCCATTTGGCCATTTTGTGGTCAAAAGTTGGTTACTTATTTATGGATAAGGATTTGGTCAAAAGAACCACAAGTACTTGAAATAATTTATAAAAATTTCGAGTTTTGGAAAATTTTTTGTGAAAAAAAAAATTTCTAGAGATGGGCAAGTAGCTTCTCTTCGAGTCAGTGTCAGTCTTTGGTCCTAAAATTCAAATCTCATCATCATTGTCGACCAAAAGCTACATACGTATACGGTTG